AACTCCGCGACGATGCCCAAATTTGGCGTCAATATGTATGCGAGCTCGTTTGTATGTATGTATATAAATATGTATGTTTGTCGGCAAAGTCTTCATTTGGTTTTTTCAACAACACAATGTCCGCGCGAACTCGCCGTTATTTCGTTGGCTTGCCACCATGCACATAGGCGTGTTAAGTGAGGGCTCATAATATATTGATATGTTGCTTAATTTGTATTGAAAAATACTGATGCATTTTATGAATTATTTGTAATATAATATTATATATATATATATATATATAATATATATACCAATAAATTCATACCTATAATCGTTTTCAAACTGAATTCGATAAATAAAATATATATCTGAAATAATTATGTGGCGGTGCGCCCAATCCATCCTTGCTGCGATCGTTCAACTCGCAAAAGCAAAAAGCGTAGACAAAAGTCATTGCTTGTGCGGGGCAAGAAAGAGCAAGCATCAGCGTACGTGTATTTAAGAATGTATGTGTGATTATCACATTTGTGTAAATACGCATAATAAGGAAATATTCTAAACCTAAACATATGAACATATTATATTTTCCTGATATATTTTAATTATCTCAGGAAGTAAAATATGTATTAAAGAAATTGAATTATGATATGCTTAAGCTCCAATTAATAAAATAAAAAAGTTAAATAAAATTCGTTTAGGATTCGAACGTATAGGCTCGTATTCGGATTGTGCTTACCCCTTCCCGCTACGACCTCAGCCACCACGAAAGTGGAAACGTGGCCGCTTAGCCACCGTTTTATTATTATCATTTGTTTAATAAGTATATGCACGCAACGCCAATACATAAGTTAGAAAACTAGCTTATTAAATGTTTATTTTATTATGAATTCTGGGTTTTTACCGGTAATACAGATTTTTAATTCAAAAGGTTTTCATAATTATAAATTTGTCATATCAAGAAATTGAAAACATAAATCTAAATAGGTATGCGCAACGATCAATTTCATATAGGAATATTCGTTGTGTCTATTTATAGCATTTCGCATATTGTGTGGTGTATTTTTCTTTTCGAAGTTATACTTTCGATGTTCCCTCTTGTGGAATTACAAATTAGTACTCAAAAAGTTTTCATTTAACATTTGCTCCTTCTCTACTCTTCAACATTCTCTGCCGTAAGCCTTATAGGCGCCAGATCAGCGTTAATTGGAGCATGCTCAATCGAAAATTGCAACCCCAACTTATGGATGCGTATTGCATGTAAATAACATATTATATGATTGTGTGTATGGACTGTAACGACTTTTTTAGATAAACATGTTCAAAGATATTTGAACATGCTTAATATTTTAATATTTTAAATAAGTAAAAATTCACTGTGTGTGGGACATAAGAAGGTAAGTTTACACCAAATTTCGTTAAAGAAAACTTATTTATGTATAAGAAAAATAAAAATCCCAAAAACATGGATATTTGAATTTTCATTTATTTTACAAAAATCAGAAAACGTGAAAGAAAATAACAGATATATTTATAACCCGTTTTCTGTTTTTAAATAAGATCACATACATATGCAGTTATAAACGTGAGGCAAATATCACAAACATACATACATATGTGCATATTATATGTTGTAAGTATATCAATAAAACGCATTAGAGCTCTTCTTTGTAATTTTCAAATTGACAATCTCTTTTATGGACCAGCTGTGATCTGTCATCATGTGACGATTCCATCAACTTAACTTCTTCCCTCTCTTTTAGATCTTGGTAGAACCCAACTCGCTGTTTCTCACTATAAATTTTTACTTATAACTCGATACTTGATCATAAAACAAGAGCAAATTCAATATTTTTGAATAAAATAAACCTGGGTACTTGAAACTTTCAAACTTTTCTAAGATAATCAGGACAATAAAGAAATATTTTTTTGTAGAGCTGTGTAATTATTACTGTCAATCTACACTCAAAATTCGTCTTTTGGTTAAGAAGCGCCAGAGTGTATGTTATGAACTCTTCCGCAACTTTGGGATTTTTGGTACTTTTGACAATGTGGGTGGATCCAAGCGCCTGGAACTAGGCAATTCTACAAAACGAAATGTTTGGAACATAATATTTCTGTCAATGAATAAATGAGCCAGCTTTTAATGCGATTTGAATTTTCTCATCTGTAACGAAAATACACATGACTTAATAAAAGGAAAACACAGATGTCACTGATGCTCTGAACACAAAAATTACTGCACGACAGCGACATTTTCTTGTCGGTAAATGTCGTCTTGAAGCCAGCTTCTTGAGAATTTGATAGACGGCAGCGGCATATTAAACAGTTGATGTACACAATTTAGTTGTTGTCGTACTAAAACCTTTCACTTGAATGAAATTTAAATGTTTTGTTCAAGGTGAAAATTTTTGTGCAAAAAATAAGTATTTCGATTTATTTGTTTTATATTTTCAATTGTTATTAAAATGATATATCAGATCTATTTTATGTTTCTGTTGGTGAAATAACGTTAAACTAGTTACGAGCTTTAAATAATTTTACATATCACTTATAAGTTGCATCACTACAGCTTAAAATAGTTTTAATTTGGCGACAGCGTCAACTGCAGCACTGCTATCGTGAAGTCGTGCTGTTGTCTAAATAACTGTGCCCATAAGAAGTGTGTGTTTAATATTTGACAGATGCTGCAGTCGCTTGTCGTCGTCTATGTGTTCAGCGTATAATATTTGAATTAAAATATGTAATTGTTGTACCCTGAACAGGGTGTATTAAAAAACGGAAATTATTAGATGGACGAGCTGAGTCTATTTAACCATGTTTCCCGTCTGTTCGTCTGTATATATTGGGTGTATGCATTAATTCGTGCGGTTTTTTACGAAAATTAAGACTTTATTGTGAACTGTTATACATTTAATGTTCAAAGTATTGCCCATCGGAAGCTATGATGTTTGCCCATCTTTCTGGCAGTTTGTGGATCCAATCCCAAAAGAACTCTCCCGGCTTGGAGGTCAAGAAAGAATCAATCCAATTTCTGATATCCTGTTCTGAAGAGAAGCGTACTCCGGTGAGGGCATTCTGCATTGATCTGAACAAGTGGTAATCGGAAGGTGCTATGTCTGGGCTATAAGGCGGGTGGGAACTTCCCACCCACAGTTTTCCAAATAGTTTTTAACTGGCCTTGCAACATGTGCCCGAGCGTTGTCATGAGAAAAATTATTGATTCGTGTCTGGTCGCATATTCTGGTCGTTTTTCCGCGATGGCCTTTTTCAAACGAATCAATTGTTTTCGGTAGAGGTCCCTATTGATCGTCTGACCCGATTTCAATAGCTCATAATAGAGCACACCCTGTGGTCCCACCAAATACATAGCATAACCTTAGCAGCATGGATATTCGGCTTTGCCGTGAATGTTGATGGTTGACCGGGCTCACATACGATTTCTTGCGCTGGGTATCATAATGAATCCATTTTCATCGCCAGTGACAATCCGATGCAAAACGACTTCTTTTGGTGGCGTTGAAGCAACATTTCCGACATGCAGAATCGACGTTCGACGTCTCTTGGCTTTAATTCATAAGGCACCCAATTTCAAGCTTCTGGATGAATCCTAATGATTTAATCGTCTGGAAACGGTTGCTTGATCAACTCCTAATACTTTTGCAAGTTTTTCTTGCGTCTGGCATGCATCTGCGTCGAGCAATGTTTCCAATTCTTCGTCTTGAAGTTTGTTTGGTGTCCGGTGTTCTCCGTCGTCTAAGTCGAAATTGCCACTTTTAAACCGTGCAAACCACTTTGGCACGTTCGTTCGGCTAAAGCATGGTCACCATAAACGTCCAGTAAAATACGATGGCTTTCGGCAGCACTTTTCTTCATGTTAAAATAATGAAGAAGAACTCCCCGCAAAAACACTTTATCTGGTACAAATTTCGACATTTCAAATGAATGAAACAAATTGTTGTTCACGCTCAAACAATTTATATCTACTGAAAACGACGCGAAATGGCAGTACCTTTGAATGAATAAAGCCACAGATGAATACGCACGAATTATGCATACACCCAATATGTAAACTAGTCCTTCAATTTATGAGATGTCGGTCTGAAAGTTTGCAAGCGTCCTTTTTCCCTACACAAATTGAACGATCGGAATCAAATGTTTCATAAAATTCGACAAGGGTTATTGTCTAAGTGTAGGTGCATTTTAGAAGAAATTGTTCAGAGGCGAGTCACTATAGCATATAATACATACAAAGCTGACCGATCAAAATCAAGTTCTTTTATAGAATCTTTTGAAGTTGTGAAGGCTGTTATAGCTTCTGTACAACCGAAGTTAAGGTTTTTTTTTGTTATACTCTTGAAACATGTTAGGTTAGATTAGAAGGTCGATCCTAAGAAGGATCACACTTGGACAGCTTAAACGCCGGTCCGTTTTGGTACTCAAAACTCCTATGACTGGATCAGTAAACGCTTACATGTCGACAAAGCGCTTTGTGCCTATGACAAACTTGTTGAGACGGCCAATATCAGTTTCGGCCAAATCTTCTGGTGTGTGTGATTGCCGAGATGTTTCAGTCTCAGCCTAGCAAAAGCCGGACAGTAGAAGAGAAAGTGGCGGGATGTTTCCACCTCACCCTCCGCGATACAAACATGTTACTAGAGAGTATAATAGTTTTGTTTTCCTAAAGGTAGCTTGTATCACATAAAAGTAATCGAGAGAGATATTGAGTTATATACATGAATGATCAGGATGACTATACGAGGTCTGAAATCTGGGCGAGTGTCTGTCCGTCCGTCTGTCCGATTGGATTTGTCCGTGCAAGCGATAACTTAAGTAAAAAATGAGATATCTTGATTAAACTTGCTACATAATATCCTGGCACCCAAAGGTGGACGGTCATAACCGGACCACTGCAACGCCTACCTTTAAACGAAAACCATTAAAGCGTCATAACTAAGCACTAAATTAAGATACAAAACTGTAATTTGGTACAGGTAATCGCAGTAGCGAGACATACTTACATGCTAAACATTTTCTTAAATGGGCGTAGCGTCGCCCTCTAAATTGTTAAACAAACATATCTTACAAACCGCTGAAGATAACTCAACCAAACTTACTGTGAGGAAGTCTCTTTACCACTTCTTCACACACTGTGTAAACTCAGGCAATAACCACGCTTACTCCCCATATAACGGTGATGTTGAAAACCACCAAAAAATTAGATGACAACCAAGCCTACTTCTCATATAAGAAACTATTAAATTTCATCTGTTTATTTCACTTTACAATATATAAATCCTATACCAATGAAGTTATCAGAATAAAACTTTACATAAATGGTGCCTTCAAGGTATTTCATCTTGCGTCCACAAACTGCCGAACCATAACTTGTGCCAAAAATGTGTAAAATCGGGTCATAAGGGAAGTATTGACTCCATATACCTAACATACCGCTTCTATCGGTCAATATGCACGAAACCTTAATAAAATTTAGATAGAATCTGTTTCTAATAATAGTGTACCCTCTTGCCTTAAAAGGATGAACTCACGGATTTACTTTCCCTAGTTTAGTATAAAGTTTTGCCAACACACCTAGGCAAGTTGCAAGACTATGTAATGCTCGGTAACGCCCAAACTTAGCCCCTTTTTACTTGTTATACTCTCGCAACCTGTTGCTACGGAGTATAATAGTTTTGTCCACCTAACGGTTGTTTGTATCACCTAAAACTAATCGAGTTAGATATAGGGTTATATATATATAAATTATCAGGATTAAGAGACGAGTTGAAATCCGGGTGACTGTCTGTCCATCCGTCCGTCCGTCTGTGCAAGCTGTAACTTGAGTAAAAATTGAGATATCTTTATGAAACTTGGTAGACATGTTTCTTGGTACCGTGAGACGGTTGGTATTGCAGATGGACGTAATCGGACCACTGCCACGCCCACAAAACGCCATTAATCAAAAACAAATAAATTGCCATAACTAAGCTCCGCAATAAGATACAAGACTGTTATTTGGTACACAGGATCACATTAGGAATGGTATGAGATGACTTTATAGGAACCACGTTCAAAATTAGACAATGTGCGTGGCACAGCCCACTTTTAGGTGAAAACCCATATCTTGGGATCTGCTTAACCGATTTCAACCAAATTTCGTGCATAACGTTCTTTTCATATTTCTATGTTATGGTGCGAAAATGGGCGAAATCGGGCTACAACCACGCCTATTTCCCATATAACACCATTTTCAATTCCATCTGATTCTTTCCTTTTCCACTATGCATATCAAGCAACAATGATTATATCGGGGTAAAACTTTGCCTGAATAATACGTTTGAAGTATGCCACCTTGTGACCAAAAATTGTCTAAATCGAACCAAAACTGTTCAAGCCCCTAAGTACTAAATATGTGGACCCCAGTGTCTATAGTTGACCTTCTACCGAAAAGTTCAGCCAATCCCCTAAGAAATCTCAAACGAGTATACCATTTGACTTCGCGAGAGTATAAAATGTTCGGTTACATCCGAACTTAGCCCTTCCTTACTTGTTTTTATATTAAAGTTAAGGGCTGAATTATTAAAATTATATATTGTATTATTATATATATATATATACACATATATATATATATATATATATTATATTAACTTATAAAAATTATATACCGAAAACTATTTGTTTTTTATGCTTTTTATGATTATTCTGCCTAATTCTTTGTTTATATAGGGTTTTGTTAATGTAAAATTATTTCATTTACAAAACTTTACTGCCGCTTAGATAATGAACTAAACCAGCACACTCAATTATATCTAAACATTAATATTGCATAACTTCAGCAAACGGTTAATTTTATTCACCAACAGTACCTTAACAGCTAATATTAATGAACATCAAATGCGTTGAATCGACCCAATTCGTCAAACTTCTTGAATTGACAGTACCAACCGGAAATCTTAAGTTGTATGTGTTTAAATATGTACATATCATACGTAATATTTTAAGAGTGTATGTACATATAATTAATGTGTGCGGCAAGGCAAGTGCTTCCCCTAGTGGGAAAGTGGAAATAAGAGCGTAAAAGTAAAAAATTCCAGTAAGCCGCCAAATGCCGTTAGCACGTGCCAATCGTGAATGGTGTAAAATATCAGAGAACTAATTTCGATTTTTCATGGTTACGTTGCGCTATAAGTGTGTCTTTGATATTTGAAGAACTATATTGCAAACTATTTATGCAAATCACTTCCCATTTTGTCATTTAAATATTTCCAAAGTGTGTAGACACTGACAAGTGTTGGAGTAGGCAATCCTACGTACCTGAAAAAGTGATATTCACACTTTGTTGACTAAATTACTCTCTGCCATAAATTTTTGATATATAAAATTTTCATCTTATTTTCCACGCTCGATTCAGGCAATAAGAAATTTGCGAAATTTTTCACAAAATTGTGACGGTTTGAGAATGGTAACAGCACACAGGGTGCGTTCCACGGCTGAGTTTATGACTCCTCAGTCACCAGGAGGCTCTCTACTGCTTTCTATCTAAAGTCTCGAGTTCGTACGAAAATGTATTACTTGAAAATTTTAAGTGAATATTAGTCTCCTACATAACTTAATCAAACCAAACTAAGCTCAGATTAATTTAAAACATTCTCCGCTTGTATAGTTAAGCTTAGATGTCGCTTCTGCCAAGAAGATATTGTCTATGACCACAGTGTAGTTCTATCAAAACTAACCTTCTCCTAAACTGATCCAAAACTTTTTCTTACTTTATGCATATCTTATCCAACTCTCTTTGGAGATAACCCTATACTCGTTCCTGGAAAAAGCCACAGCGCAATTTGCATATATAACAAAACACCGCTTGCTTTCATTCGAGCCCACTGGGCAGCCAATTATTTGTGTAAATAAATAGTCGACACTTGCTGTGCTTCATGTTAAACAAGCTGTCAGCTGCAACAACATTCAAGTGGTAATAGATGCTGGCATTAGTAATCTTGTGGTCCAGCCTTGCGCCTTTGCATTTGTTCAGCTTAATTATGTCAAATTATTCCATAAAACTAACTGTATGCTTACCTGCCTACAAGCTTGTAATTTTTTTTTTTAATTTTTCCACGCTTTTACTTTCATGGAAAATTGCATTTCCACATATAAAATGCAACAAAATATTCAAGTTCAAGTTAGTTGGTGCTAGACGTCGCATGGCAGTTGTAATCTAAATCTACAATACATCTAACCAAAATAACGATGTTGACGAGGGAAACAAAATTGATATATTGAATTTGGAAATATTAATACTGTTATTTATGTGTTCAAGAAAACTGTTCAGTGAATTATTATGTGTTGTAAGATTTTTGGTGGTAAAACTATGTTGAAGGCAACTATAATAGCAAACAACAAGTGAAATTCAAACTTTTCACACATGATTGAATCCGTTGATTTCTTTTGTTAGAAAAGTATTTGCACTTCTATAGAGAGCGAAAAAACCAAATTGACTTTCGAAAAGTCTAAAATGAGGAAAATGTGAATGTGTTGAGAGGGTATTATTTTAGTCTACTACTTAAAAAAAAAAAATTTTAAAAAAGTTTTTTTCATATTTTGATAGTTTAGATATTCAAAAATATTGCTCTAAAAGAATTCTTAAAAATTCAAGTTAGTTTTAATGATATAGTCGTTTTAGTGTCGTTGCAATTAAGCGGTTTGATCGGACGAGGAAGCTTTAAAAACTTTTCCCCGAAACCACTTTTTTCGATACGGTCGTCATAATATTTCAAGTTCTATTTAGCCGCTTTGTTTATTTTAAAATTTTAAGAATATTCTTTAATAATATTCAACCCACAAAAACTGCAACTTCCTGGGTTGTAACATTTTTTAAAAATGCATTAAGAAAAAAAATGTTTGGAAAAAGATTTACACCGATTTCAACCATTTTAGGCCGATAGTTTTCATCTGCGAAATGCAAATCAAAATGGTGTTATGCGTAATGTTGTGTTGGGTAACAACTTGAAGATGTAATGCATATTCCTTTGCTCTGAGACGCCATGGACCGAATGTTTTTTATGCAACTTGATTGGTGACTGAGCTATTGCACTTTTTTTGAATAATGTCGTTACATAGTCCGTTTCTGATCATGTCTTTTTCTCCTCAAGAAGATGCTCATTTGTCAGAACCGGCGATAACGGATCATTACTTGCTATACAAACTGAACGATCGAATAAAAGGGTTTATATGGGAAACTTTATCATTTGAGGATATATCTTCACGAAATTCGGCATTGGTTATTGTTTAAGGTAATGGTGCAATCTTAGGAGAATCAGAGAAATTGTTCAGATCGCTGTAACGCTATAACATTTACATAGCTGCCACTAAAAATGGATCGATCAAAATCAAGTTCTTGTAAGAAACATTTTGTATATATGGGGGGTATTGCCATATAGCTTCGGTATGACCGAAGTTAACGTTTTTTCTTTTTTTACTCATGTTGTTGCGTGAACGAACGGAGGATTACCTAAAATCAATTTTGTACGTCGTTCTAATTAGCTTAACATCTTTAACTCCACCATATATTATATATGGTTCGTATAAATAAACAACCGTTAAGACCAAAACTACTACAATGTCGTGTAGAAATTTTTAAAAAGGGGTGACACCATCTTCTAAAAAATATAATAATCGTATGTTCTAAACTACATTCGAATCAAAATTTATGTTATCTTTTCGATGTAACATCCTTTTGAATTCCATTGCATTGTTTTACTTTACAATAGGTAAAAAAGCACAAAGAAAGATATCGATATAGAATAGGATAAGATCACTTCAAAATTACTGAACTAGGCTCCATATATCTAACACAAGAATTTTTTTATTCTTCTTGCTTTTACTGTATATACTATTTGAATACACAAACAGGGAAATATTGCATTTCATTAACACTTATTTTAATTGCGTGCAACATTGTGTCTACAGTTACTTTATTGTACAAGTTACAGCGTCCCTAACGAATTTGAAAACAAAATTGAAGAAAGAAACGCCGCTGAAGTAATCGCCACAATTATCTTCCATTCCACAAAACCATACCAACATAACCAATATAGGAATTTTGATAAATATACTCGTACATACATATACGGACCATCACCGCAATAGAAACTTAGTGCGATTTACCTGTAATTCACCCAACAATACCAACGTCAGACAAAGTCATTATCAATTCTTGGGTCAAGTGACACAAGAGCCAATGTACCGTGTCCAAGTAAAAGTTTAAGGTAATAGTAATAAAATAAAAACACGAGGCAGGCTATTAAGGTCAGACGCTGAAATAAAGAGATGAAGATGGAAACTATTAAACATTAAAGTATCAAAATAAGAACAGTTATAAAAATAGCAATAAAATAGAGCAAAAAAGGAAAACATAATTAAAAGGTGTTATCACATAGTTTCTAATTTCTGCGCCCCTCTATTACTCGAATATAATATTCTATTGATATTTTCAATTAAGCTTGATGGGTGTGAAATGTGTGACCCTCTGATTTACTGTACTATTGAAGATTAAACAAGAAAAAACGTTAAGTTCAGTTACATCGTAGCTAGAATACTCTTCCCAAATAAAAAAGTTGTCCATTGTTGCAAGAACTTGTTTTTGATCGTTTAGTTTCTATGGCAGCTGCATGCTATAGTGATTTGATCAGAAACAGTTATTCGGATATTGTGGCGCTATTTCGTAAATTTTGTAAAGATTATTTGTCAAATAAAAAAGTTTTCCTTACAAGGGCATGACTTTCATCGCTCTGTTGGTATGGGAGCTATATGCAATAGCAGTCCAATGTCGACGGTTCCGACAAGCGAGCAGCCTCTTGGTGAGAAATCGATGTGTGCAAAATTTCAGATTGATATCTTATAAACTGAGGGACTAGGGACGAACATAGCTAAATCAACTCAAATCATTTAAATTTTATAGGGTTTTCGATGTTTTCTTCTTGATGTTACAAACTTCGTGGCACACTTAATATACCTCGTTGAGGGTGTAAATATTGATACGTTAAAAACAAATTTATATTTACCATATATTTTGATAAATAAAATGCGAGAATCATATTCCTTTGTGGTTCTTAAAATACGAAAGTTTTAAACATAAAGTTTTTAACATAGAAAAAATATATCACTTCGAAGACTTCTGTAAGTAATATTGAAATCAATACTTTCTAGTATAAGAAGATAATATATCCTGCTTTTGAGCTTAATTTTTTTGGTTTTTATCAAAATTGTAAATTTTTAAATACAATAATACTCGTAAATATATAATATGTATATAATTTAATTAATAAAACTTTGGTTGAAATTGTTGCGTCCATATTTTATTATCTAAATTCGCAGTGGTATCTTTCTATTTTAGTCATCTTATTGTTTATTTAGTAATGTCCTCTTATATAATTTATGTGAGTATTGCTGTATTACAATCTCAATTATATAACATTATTTGGTTGGACAGCAGCAATGCATTAGATCTTTCTCATCTTCCAATATCAGGACATAAAGTTGTTTAAGGTTTTGAACAAAATTGTAGTTTCATCAAAATAAAAGAACATTATCTATATATTTTGTTTAAATTCTACCGGCATTGTGAATGCCCCAAATCTTACATTCGCTTCCAAAATAAATCTATAAAAACATGTATTCCAAAAACTTAGTATCTGAAGTGTGTCCAATCTCAATGAATATCTAATCTATGGTATGTTGCCGGAGTGACCTACAAGTATATAGCTATGTGTCTGAATGAAATTGTAGTAACGATTGCGTGAGCGCGGCAAAGCACAATAAATAAACAAGTAAGGAAGGGCTAAGTTCGGATGTAACCGAACATTTTATACTCTCGCAAAGTCATACGGTATACTCGTTTGAGATTTCTTTACATATTTTGCTTGATTTGAATAGTGGAAAGTGAAAGAATCAGATGGAATTTAAAATGGTGATATAGGGGAAATAGGCGTGGTTGTACTCCCATTTTTGCACTATAACATAGAAATATGAGAAGAATGTTATGCACCGAATTTGGTTAAAATCGATTAAGCAGATCCCAAGATATGGGTTTTCACCTAAAAGTGGGCGGTGCCACGTCCACTGTCTAATTTTGAAGTCGGCTCCTATAAAGTCATCTCATACCATACCAGAGATAACATTTAATGTCTCTGGGTTTTATGCTTGATTTATCACGCATATGGTAGTTTTTATCAGTACCGTTATATGGGCAGTGGCGGGGCCATTTCACCCATTTTACACTGTCGATATGTGGTGCTAAAAAATTAGCTTTCCGGAATTTTGTTATTATAGCTTTTAGCGGTTTAGGCCACGCCCACTTTAAAAGCATTTTTAAACTACAGATCGCCCCTCCTTAATGTGATCTGCAACCATCAGCCGTCTTACGGTACCAAGAAACATGTGTACCTTGTCTAAAGATATCTCAATTTTTACTCAATTTACAGTTTGCAGGACGGAGACAGACAGTCAACGGATTTCACTCGTCTCTTCATCTGATCATTTATATAACTCTATATCTAACTCGATTGTTTTAGGTGATACAAAAAGTCGTCAACAAAACTATTATACTCTGTAGCAACATGTTGCGAGAGTATAATAAACAGTGACAACTGATCGCTTGATAATATGGAGACTCTAACACGTGTAGATTTTTATTATCTTCTTTTTCTTTTTAATTTATTGTTCTTTATGTGCAGCGATGCATTGCGTACGGATGAATGTTGTTATTTATTTCGATACCGTGCGCTTGAAGCTTTGAGCCTTTCTCTTCGACAGACCAGAGTGTTGATATTATTACTTAAGAAAATTTGTAAAATTGAATTTCCTTTCTTGAACTGTAATTTCGTTTTCTATTGATGTTTTGATTTCTCGTTGTAACAACACAGACGGTGATGATGACCAAGTGGTTGAATCAGCAACTGAATAGAAATCAACACCGCCGGACAAACAACAACACAATGTAATTATAAGTGTAGAAAATAAAAGATTCTTTGAGGTGTGAGCTGTGCTTGATAAAATATCGAGCACACTGCCAGTTCAGGTTATTTGTGAATCAACTTGAACGAATGATGAACTGCGTCGAGCAGTTGCCAAAAACTGTGACGGTTAATGAAACCTCCGTGGTAAAGAAATAATTAAAGCAAATTAAAATCTTAAAGAGTGAATATTTCCAAATCGGTGAAAGATGCTGCTGTTGTATTAACGCGTTTGCACCATTTCACACTGCAAACCGAAGTGATTTTAAATTACGATGGCTTTAAGTCAATCGCCACCGTGCCATCTGCATCAGCAGCTTACACCTCTGCTCCTCGTTACATCAGCAGCAACAACCACAACGAACGACAGCAGCAGGTGCAATGGCCACGCACGGCAGTACACAACAATTGGTATATCCTGAATGCCGCCGCCAAGTGCGTGGTTTCTGCGGTTGTTACACCAGGCAGACGCCGCACGCGCCAATAAACTGCACAGGCGACAAAAAGCAATGACGCGGATAAGCAGCCACACAGCTACAACCATGATACACCACACGCGGCACAGCAACAACAAAATCCGGTAAATTATTACACTTACAACAGCAGCAAACAGCGGAAATTACGTTCGCCGTCACCGGATATGCGCTTTGTTGCGCCATATATATTGGCAGTAATCAGCGACACTCCTCGATGCTATCTAGCGAAAGGAGTAGGCGGCGAGAGCACAGCAACGGCAAGACTGACAAAATTGCACTAACTTCAATAACCGAGAGTATGTCAACACTTATACCATCAACAAATACCACACACAAAAGTGTAACGCAATACAATAAGTATGGTGACAAAGAGCAAGCGGTAATAAATAAGAACAATGCCGAACCATTGTTACACAACCACAGCATCGAGCGTTGTTTGCTTGGCAGGATATTGAAAGCAAAAGTGATGAGGATGGCAACGAAGATGGCATTGGCGAGTGGAGTGACGCCGATATTGAGGAGAACGCAGAGATTCGAAGCATGGAAAGTATGATTCTTGTGCCATTGGGAAAGCCTTCGATAAAGTGCGACACTTTTTGAGGTTTTCAGACGCATCATCATCAGCGATGATGAATCAGGTAGGGGAAATCATCATTATTCACTGCACAAGGCTGATCTGTGGTCAAAATGTGGACATGAAATTTGTATTGAATATTTTATGCACCTTGTTTTGAATACATGTTTGACATACATATGGTATCCAGGGCATTGAGGTGTCAAATTAGACAGTTAAAGTCCATATGACAAATGCCTCAAATTAGCAACATATTTAAAATAAATAATTTACAATCTAAGAGTTCATCACCTTCAGTAGAAATATTGAGATATTTTTCGAATCTGACCTACCTACATACATCTGTATATTCATCATATTAGTGCTGTAGCCGGTGCATACCAATACTAATTTTATCACGAATGTCATAATACTAATTGAAATATTCTCGGTTAAGTTATCGAGATAACTATGTATACATCCAAGAAAAAATGGGAAAAGAGACAACGGTGCACATAAAATTGATATTGATTGATACTACTATTGATTTTTTCTCATAAAATTTTAGAAATAAAAATCTATAATTTTAAGATGTTTGATGTGTTGAGATATTTGAAATCAATTTAAATTGCATACTTCGTTAATTGACTATGCTTGACAAATGTATTATCTGTAGTGAGTGACTATCTGAATAGTATTGTAAAACCAATGCATCGGGAGAGAAGTGGAAAACTATTTCAACTAAAAGTGGAAAACGTGCAAACAATGAGTCACCTAAACTCAATGAAAAACAAATTCCCATACTCCCAAACACATTCGACATCTTAAGTGATGATGACGATCAGCCAGGACGTGCTGAATGCTCCAAAGCCACCATCGTACCTGTGGTTTATATCATAGCGAAATGATAAACTTTATTTCTAGTGTAATTGCCAAAAAGATTTTAGAAGGAATTCTTTCAATCTGTTCTTTAGTTCGTAAAATTTTTATTGTTAAACAGCTTTGTGAGCAGGTGCAGTGTCTTGATGAAAATGATTTGTTTGTGCTGCAAACCCGGTCTTTCTCACGAATTTTCCATGCTGATCCAAAAGGTGCAATAATATTCAGAGTTGATTGTTTTACCTTTCTGTAGATAATCAATCAACAAAATTCCTTTACACCAAAATAACCTTCTTTGCTGATCGTTGTAACAAACATTTTGGAACTAGTAGTGCTTTTCTTGGAGACAGAAGTTTTCAACCAACCCGTAAATAAGTATGTATATAAATATAAAATTATGTGTCACGTTTTCCGGGTTATCTCCTAAGCTACTGAACGATTTTATTGAAATTTAGCACACTGTGTCCAGTTTGTTCAACTTAAAGAAAATCCCCTTTACGGGTTTATTTTTATAGCAGATAAATAATAGTTTAAAGAAAACTCAAAATCTCGTTTTTATAGCTAATCGAACTAAAACGTAGAAAATAACTTTAATTACAAAAGTTTATATTATTGTAGTAGCAGATCAAACAACTAATCATAATTAAGACTTTAAATAAAATTATAATAAAATTAAAGTTATTAAGAGAATAATTAAATTCAGAGTAAAAACATGGAGTTGCAACCATTTAAGTACATTGATTTAAATGATTAACTAGTCAGCCTCTAAACTAATAAAGCTTACTATACATTGGATTATTTCATGAATATATTTTCAGCCCTCATGCCTTGAAAATATGTACATACTTGTATATGTATATGTATTATTAATTAAAACTTTTCATGTTTTAACCTTATTTGCAGACTTGCAAGCGGCGACCCTGTTACATTGAGGAGCAGCGACGAGGCCTTCGCAAACACAGCATCCGCCACGTTACCACAGCCAGCATCTGTAGCACAGTCATTCCTGTTGGTGACAACACGCATTTGTCGCTAGAAGTTCAAGGTCAGCGAAGCCCTCCACCGCTATCGATAAGCCACGATTAACTGCGGTTACAGCATCAACACAGGCAACACCAATTGCAAGCGCACAAAACTCAGCCAAACATTAACATCCACTGCCTTTGCCATTGGTCGAGGCAAAAAGTTGAAAAGAAATTGAAAAATTCATGCTTCCATTGTTGTTGGCATACAAGTGAAGTTCATAGCATTAGTGCCGCTACACTGGTGGCCTAACACTGCTGGTCGGCAGCACCGGCCTGGCCGGCTTTTTGCCCTTCTTGACGGTGATGAGTTGGTGGGTGTGAACAAATCGATTGCAATTAAGAAAGTTTGGTAAAATTGAGCTGTCAAAGCATTTTGCGGTTACCTAGGCGGCACTGGCGCGGCACACGCTATTAGCTAATTTTTATTGGTCAACATGATTTGTCTATGATTACGGTTGCTCTTTGCAATTGCAAGTGACATAGAAGGGGCGAGAAATCGAACAATCGCTCAACTTCGGAGGCGAGTATAAAAGCAGTATTGTGGTTGATAAAGCAAAGTCAAGCCATTTTATGTTCAGCTTATAAACAATAGACTAACAGTTGCAACTTTTAAACTCTGTGCATTGTAAACGTTTATTTTATTCAATTGCCACACGACAAATTAATTTAAGCCAATTACTACAAAAGCTGCTACATTTTAAAATGAATAAATACAATTAGCCAACCTGTAAATTATTGAGCGTATATGAACTGTATTGAGCTATGTTAGTTGGAATGTGTACGCAAAAAGTGATGAACACTTTAGAGACCGTAGATAACGGGTTTGCTTTTGTATTCGCAACAATTACTTTATTTCGCAATTTTGTGCTATTTATAAATATATTTTATTTAATATTTAAAATAATAATTTGAGTAAATTTTATACAATATTATAAATGTATTGATAATAATAGTTTTAGTTTTTATTGTAAAATATGACAATAAATGACGGAAATAATTTCCTACTGAACCTGCCAGCATAAATAATGCGCCAAGAGCCTACTTGAGAGATTTTGTAGTTGTGTCAAGAACGTATGTTTGAGCATCAAGGAAAATTTCGTTTTGTTTGACCCACTCTAATATTAATGTACATATATGGTGGCTTCAAGAATACTTGCACAAATATTTTTATTTTTATATATACCTAGTTCCATATATATCTATCAAATCAATGTCATTTGCAACAACAGTAAAACCACCTCTTAAATTGTTTTGCAAATGTAATCGAAATGAAAGCAGTACTGAACTTTGAGGAAAAATTCAAAATTGATTCAGTTTTGCGCCAAAACTACTAAACATTGTTGACATGATGTTACACATTACTGTTTGCAAGCGCAGCAAACTATCATATATAACTGGACTGGGTGGTCCAAACAAACAAGGGGAAGGGCTTCGTAAAATTAAAGCGGTGTTATAATGAAAATACATATATGAATGCAATATTAGACGAAAGAAAGACGGAAATTATTATATTGGGTATATGGGGCATAGGGAACTTTTCGAATCAAACATCATTATTTATGAAACCAAATGTTCACTCAATGCCAATAAAATATTTAGGTGATGTTTTGGAGACTACCATATTTCACCCTAAAGTGGGTGGTACCGCTCCATTGTGCAAGTTCAGTTGTTTTGTATATATGGAGGTGTGCGATCTTATTATCCTATGTCACCTATTTTAATAATGTATCAAGAAATACCAGAGAAAATATTTTCAGTAAGTTTCGTTAAGATAACTTTGTGAGGTATTATAAATATATGTATATGAATCCACACCCACTTTTCAAAAACATAGTACAGATGTCCCTCTATGGGTTACTGTCACAATATAAGATAACGGCAAATTTGACATCCGAAATTTTGAAGTGATTAAAACATATAATCTATTATTTAATCTAGACTGTCTCACTACTGCTGAGATTTATAAACAGCTGTTTTTGACTAGCCGATCGAAGGAGTGGCATTTTCTAATAGACCGGTTTGGATGCCTTACTCCACATTACTCTTGTTTTAAGAATATTTTCCGCTATTTTCACTTATTTATTTTATATTCCATAAATTTTTAATTTTAGTTTATTTGTTTGTTAAATATATCTTCTTTGAAGTTTGGTGTTTAAATCAGTGTGATAAGTGATAAATTTCCTACTGACAAACAAATGGCGCTAAATAGAAATCTTGTAGATCAGTAGATTTGTAAGATAATCTACTCAACAGCCCGCATATAATAGACAAAAATTCTCGTAGATACTCCTAAAATTCAATACTATCTTTAACTCTTATAGACATAATATAATAATTTCAAACTTATAAGATTTTCAAACTTCTGGTTGGCTTTATACCATTTATATTGGTCAATATGGTATAATATTTTAGCAAAATTAACAAACGTATAATATTGGATATACTATATGGAGTTTAATGTTGAAAATATATAATTGGTCTACGAATTACCCGCCCCCATATTTTCGTTATACTAAAAGCCATATGCCGAATATAATCGGTCTGTGTGTGTCTGATATTGTAATGAAATGAGTGGAAAACTTTCTTTAAAATTATAAAATTATATAAATAGGTTAGCGCTGAATATAAATAGAGTTGGTCTAGACCTTGTCCGCGAAAGAAAATTTTGAAGAATCAGTTGCTAATTATTTGTTATGTACTCTGCGTCGCAATTAGGAATTAAATTCTATAGCCTATGCATTAACTTGATACTATGACCTGTCCAGAAAACTTAATTTAAAATGGGGAATAACTATATGCATCGTTCCTACATTATATAAGGATCTTAAAGTATTCTAACGCATTTTAACGACGCAATTAATTAGTATTTATATTACCAACAACAGTTAATAATTCTACATATTTAAATATATTAAACTGAAGCATTCATTAAATCACAGATACTTTGCTGCCAAACAGTACGTATTAAATTAATAAAAAGTAAGGAAGGCTAAGTTCCGATGTAACCGAACATTTTATACTCGCAAAGTCAAATGGTATACTCGTTTGAGATTTCTTTGTGGATTGACTGATATTTTTCAGAAGGTCAACTATAGGCACTGGGTCCACATATTTAGTACTTAGGGGCTTGAACAGTTTTTCGATTAAGACAATTTGGTCACAAGGTGGCATACTTTAAACGTATTATTCACGCAAAGTTTTACCCCGATATAATCATTGTTGCTTGATAAGCATAGTTGAAAGTGAAAGAATCAGATGGAATTGAAAATGGTGTTTCATGGGAAGTAGGCGTGGTTGTAGTCTGATTTCGCCCATTTTCGCACTATGACATAGAAACATAAAAAGAACGTTATGCACCGAATTTGGTTGAAATCGGTTGAGCAGATCTCAAGATATGGGGTTTCACCTAAAAGTGTGCTGTGCCACGCCCACTGACTAATTTTGAACGCGGTTCCTATAAAGCCAACTCATACCATCTCAGAGATAAAATTTAATGTCTCTGGCGTGTTTAGTGCTTGATTTATGGCGCTTTTAGTAGTTTTTAACAATACCGTTATATGGGGAGTGGGCGGAGTTGCCACCCGATTTCAACTATTTTCACACCGTCAATAGAAGTGCTAAAAACATTTGCTTCTAGTGAATTTTGTTATTATAGCATTAGCAGTTTGGGAGATATGCACATTAAACCTATTAGAGGCGGGACCACGCCCCCTTTAAAAAAAAATTTTAACTGCAGATGCCCCTCCCTAATGTGATCCTGTGTACCAAATAACAGTCTTGTATCTTATTGCGGAGCTTAGTTATGGCAAATTATTTGTTTTTGATTAATGGCGTTTTGTGGGCGTGGCAGTGGTCCGATTACGCCCATCTGCAATACCAACCGTCTCACGGTACCATGAAGCATGTCTACCAAGTTTCATAAAGATATCTCAATTTTTACTCAAGTTAGAGCTTGCACGGACTATTATACTTTGAAGTAACAAGTTGCGAGAGTCTATATATCTACAATAGTTTCGAAATTAACAACTTTCGTTTTATAGAGATTCGCTAACATTTGTAATATTTCACGCCATTGTCTCCACATTCACCACAGTATACTACTTGGGTCAGCAATTTCCCATAAAATCCTGGCCAATCAAAGTCATTTTATTTCATTCAACATCTAGAACATAAATTTAACAACTACCGCTATACGGCTCAGTTAGCACTTCAGAAATGCTACAAGTACGCACACACCAGCCAAGATAATCATTTCGTGTCTATGACGATAGAAGTGCTCAGATTCTGACATTAAACGCTTTTGCAATTTTCATTGAAGCAGATTTTCTAACTGCCTAACTTGACGCATTGCTTGACTGCTTGAGTAAGTGTTTGATTTAGTGAGTGAGTAAGTGACATAAATGTCATCCTTAAGTGTGCAAGTGAATAAGCACGGGAGTGTGACGCATCGCAGCCAAGTATAAAGCGACTGAATTAAATTTCACTTGACTTTCTAACTTCATGACGGACAGTCAAAAACGCCTACCAACTGTGTACGTTTATATATTTGTTGTTTTGGTACTGTCTGGCTTGGTAAATGCTGCCAACGACAACTCAATTGTGGCGTAATTGCCCCAATTCTTTTTTTTACGTTTGTTAAAGTGGTTATTGAAGGAAATCAGCGCAGCAACGGAGACCTAACCGCCTTAATGAATGAAGTTGTAATTCCTGCGAACACTTTTCCGCACCAAAAAAAGTTTTATTTTTCTGATTTTTGTTTCAGAACGTTTTGTGGCGATTGTTCAAACATATTTTTATTTTCGCGGTTTCGTTTATCCAAGAATGTAAGAATATATGTATATAGAATAGTTATATAACTATACTTACAAGTATATACACAGGGGGCTTCTTATGCTGCACTTAAATTTTTTTTTGCGGAGGCGAATGTTTAATATAACACTCAGCCAGTCTACGAAGTGAAAATTCGTACTCAATGTGAAATTAGTAAAAGCCATTACTTAGTTTTCGTTAGAAATGGCAATTAGCTGTTTGAATTGTGGTAGAATTCAGGGAATTATTGCGCTACATTACGATTATTTGTTTCTCCTGGAGCAGCAACTTGTGCGCCTGCGAATTTCATCTTATTAACCGAGCTATGGAACTTTTATAAGACTGTTCGGTGCAAAAGCACCGCTTTCGTTTCGATCCCCGACTGAGAATGGTGAATGTGTTCAATGCAACAAGGACAAGTAAATACTTTTCAAATCATTGATATTATATACAATTTCGGCGATCATGGAACCACAATAAATACAGAATAATGAGTCGTTTTTTTTAAACTCGTACTTTTATAACCAGTGCTACCTTGGACTGAGTAGAGAACAATTTAGATCCCACAATGCGCACACTTATAATATTAAGTCTAGTGTACCATAACTAAATCCATTATTTTTGCATTAAATGGAAGATTTTATTTAGGATAACATATTTAGAATGTTAGTCAAATATGCACTGTTAGTAGATTTTCACAAAATTCTATTAGATGAAATTTCCACCATCACAATCATTTGCCATAAGCAGAAACAGGTAGTAAGCATTTATTTCTAGGTCCGGGCTAAGCGGTGGATAAGAACTTGTCAATGTGTACACCTGACGTTGGCCTGATGGAACACAATTTCTCTGCTATTGGCCGAAACTAGTCGCTTCTGGGTGATTGCTACCTTAAAACGTACTAAAAGTACTTACATGATGGCTGGACGCGACGATTTCCATTTGATTTATCGATTTCGATGGCTGCTACAGTATCGGTGTCCACTGAATTAAGCAATCACAAAACTTTCTGAAAATATTTTTTTGTATGAAATATTGTCTCGCCAATGCCATACCTACTATAGCGTAACCCGACCCGGCACTTATACAACACGAAATACAGATTACTAAAGCCATCTATTGGAAAAGTAGTGGACTCTTCTTTACGAGACCTATGGCCTATGATACAGAAGCTTCGAATATCATACGAGTAATATCCTAAAAGGTGATTGTCCGACGAAGTCAGGAAGTCTATAATCTGTATATCAATGTCAAAGGAAGGAGGCTCTCTTCAACTGGCAAAATTGTGAAAGTAGACGGAGTATATCTTTTTAAACAAGGAGCTAATTGGGGAAATCACCCTGTTTAGTGTATAGGTGCAATACCTTATAAAGCATTCTTATTCATAATTTCACGGTTATCTTAACAGCAACAAAAAAGGTAATGAAGTTAATTTATTGGTAGTAATATATACTTTCCACTTAGAAGCCAGCAACATGCGCTTAACTCCAGACGCAGTAACTTCAACTCAGATAACTGCTGTAGCTGTAACATGCTGACAACCAGGCTGAACACTGAATTTTCAACGATTTGCGGTACTTATGTAGCACGCAGCCAAGCGTTTGCTGCTACAAAAGCGCATAGATTACTTGCGCCCACCGCATCAGCGGCCGCAGCAAATTGAAGCGCAATTGCAACCACTACTTCGCGTTGCAGCTGCCACACTGCAGGCGCAACACCCATTCTGTTGCATATTTAGTTAGAATTGCGCCGATGTACGCAACGGTTTGCAAATTTTAGTTTGAATATTTCGCAGATTTTCTACTCGCCTACAATTTTTATTTCAAAACACAAGTTCTGAATTGGATTCGTTGCAATGAACAGTTTCGTTTTATTCGTATATGGCTTATCCTGCGGCTACGGCTTATTGCGACCCACAGCCACCGCAACGGCCAAATCGCCTGCCATACAGTTAATTGGTTCGGCTACGGAAGCGTTTGTGGCGACGGGAAGAGCAGAGACAGTGAACGAGTTGAATCATCTGGGAAACGATTCAGTGCTTCAGGCGAATATGTTAACCCATCGTCATGAAATTCAAAAACGGGGAGACATTCAAAAGGATGACAAAATTTCTGAATTGAAGAATTTCTCAAATGAAATAAATGAAGGTGAATTTAAATGGGAAGCATTGAGAGTAGTGTGTATGTATATATTTATGTATATATGCGCTTTACAGTGGATTGGATATACTTAGTTGTAACGGTATATACATATAAACACTCCAGTAAATGATAATTCAAGTTCATACAAATTATTCTCCAATTTGTTCACTCAAGTGGTTTCTATGAATAGCAACTTTATAAATATTATTAATTAATGATTTACAGTGCGATAAAAAAATAGCTTTCGTTTTCCAAAGTGTAGGTGCGTTTATTGGGAAAACCGTTGTAATTCTAGGAACTACATTGTTTTGCTGTAGCTAACGTTTATTCAATACTTGCACCAATCTTCCTATTTATAGCCTGACATCTTTGATGGCAACTTGCAACTAAATTTTCCGATTTTTCAAATTGGTTTCTCATCTTTAAAAAATTTTGGATTAAATATCTAATTTGAAAACAATAAGAGAATTTAAACAAAACAAATTAGGAACGGCTAAGTTCGAGTGTAACCGGACATTTTATACTTTTGCAACTTGCAAGGATCAAATCCGACTAAATACTTTCAGGTGTTGGCAAAACTTTATATTTAAAAGTTTTGCGAATCAATTAATCATTCATTGTTCGACGAAATCGTGGATGGATTACAATCGAATTTGTCGTATTTTCCCGTATTTGTTTCGTATCATTTTAACTTATTTGGAAGCTCATGTACTCACTTGTTTTATCAATATATTTTAATCGCGTCAACGAAAACTATCCTTATATGATTTATATAATATATTGAGTTTTCTCAACCAAACGGCTTAAAGTCAGGACGTGAAGATCAATTAGACGGGAGCTACGGCAATTTTTCACCCGATTTGATCCATCTTAGACACACAGATGCACCGTTGTTAGAAAAACACGCCCCCACAATTTTATCGGCCGATAATCATTCTATTAGGTATATGGGGGCTAAGAGAAGTATTGACCCGATTCAGTAAAATTTTGACATTCAGACATAATATTAACAGGAAATGGTCCTCTCCGAATTCCAATTATATATCTCATACATTGAACGATTATTACGGTAAAAAGTAAACCCAGTCCACTTCACTTGGGTCCACATCTTCGGTGTATGGGGGCTTGAACAGTTATGGCTCGATTTTGATAATATTTAGATTTGAGATGGCATATCTTGAAGGCAAGCTTTTCGCAAAGTTTTATTTGAAAATATTCATTAGTGCTTGATTTGTATACTGAAAAGTCAAAAATCAGATTGAAATTAAATTTGTGTTACATTGAAAGTAGGCGTGGTTTTAATCCGATTTTGCCCACTTTTGCACTGTAACATAGACATATTAGTATAATATTATGTTCCAAATTTGTAGGTTTTCACCTAAAGGTTGGTGGTGCTCTCATTGTCCATTTTTATATTGGCTTCTATAAAGATTAATTTTATCATATGTTTAAAACTCAAAGTCTCTGATTCGTTTAGTTAATGAATTATCGCAGTAGTTTTAAACAAAACCGTTATATGGGGAGTGGGCAAGCTTATCAGAGTGAAATGGGTAAAATACATTTTCATATTGTTGGTAAAAATTATAAAAAATTATGATAGATGCTCCCCCCGAATGCGATTCGTTATATCAATTAACATAAACAAACACAAATAAAATCTTGTACATATCATATTGTGGAGCTTGATTATGTCAATATATTGGTTTTCGATTAATGGCGTTTTGGGAGCATTGCAGTGATCTGATTACGCCCCACTCCAAACCAACCTTCTTATGGTGCCAAGAAACATGTGTACCAAGTTTCATGTGGTTATCTCAATTTTTACTCAAGTTACAGATTTCACAGACGGACAGACAGTCACTCGGATGTCAAAATATTTAGTGCTACCACGTATTTATCTATTAAATAGTGGCCAGTCGGAACCCCTACAATAGCTGGTGAGATTGACTTTGGGAAGTGCAAGTAGTTCGGAGGACATCTTACGGTTTACTTTGGGCCAGAAAGATCTCGCAGTCCTGGTTGTTGACCAGCCTGCCAAGCTCTCTAGAGGTACGTAGGTCCAGCGCTAGAGCCCAAGGAAACATCTGGCAACAAAGCGGGGTAATGGTGGCATCCCTAGCAAGCTAAACTGCCATCACTATGAAATAAATTAAAATGAAAAACTGTAATTCGGTTTTAAATACTTGTTCCTACACTGTGAAAAATGATGAAATCAGATAATAAAACTACTAAAAGCCCGATAATAATTAAATTTCACAAGCAAGAAGTTGTATAACGGCTTTATTGGAGCAGGTATAAAAGTGAGCAATGGGTGTGGCACCGACCACATTTAGGTGAAATCCTATATCTCAGGAACTATATGACCAATTTAAATCAAACCCAAAACTTACTCATGATACACTGCGAAAATGGACGAAATCCACTAACAAACACTTCCATATAACAAATTTTTCAATTCGATCTGATTCTTTCACTTTGCACTAGTCAAATCAAACATCAACGAATAAAACTTTACTATATAATGCCCTCAGGATATCTCATCTTATAAGTTTTCAAGGACCCAGACACTAAATATAATATTAGAATCCCAGCGCATATGGTTAATTTTTTAACGAGCACAGTGGTCAATCTGTGCAGTCTGTCAGCCAAGTTTTTTTTAATTGCAAAGAAGAAAAATTAAATTTATTATGAACAAAATGCTTTAATTTAATTATACTTTCATTACAAATATTTCGAAAAGTTAGACAGTTTTCTATATATAAAAAATAATGTATACAATATATTTATATATTATCTTTAAGTTAGTACATACTACACAATGTTATTTTTTTGTTAACGTTGAAATGTCTTCCATTTCATGCTCATTCACATACATACATCTTGTGTCAGTTCATACGGTCTGTTGCTTGGCAAAGCGTAAAAAGATGAGAGTTTTGCTTGGCTTCATGTCGAAACCTCGAACTTTTCTGCCAAAACAAATGTCTGACACAAAACGCAGCAAAAGTTCTATGTGAATTGGCCACTATGACTTTCTCTCACGTACCCACAGATAACTCTTCACGAGTTCTCTATATAAATTATTAATCATAACACGCGGTCAAACTGTCATTTTGTAACTTTCCATGTGTGACATTTCGCAATTGTTCAATATTATTACATCATCCAATTTATAATATTAACTATTTAATCAAGTAAACGCCTACTTACACTTACACTCTCTCTACTTCTGTCTCCATCTAGGACGTGGCAGGCATAAACGCAGGAAAATGATGAAGTATCTTCAACCAATACTGATTGGTTTTCTAATAGTGAAGTTCATAATTTTTCCGCTCGTTTTAAAAACACTAACAGCCCTCTCGACATCCTCATTTGTGATGAGTAAAATTGCGTTAGCAATCGCCGGACTGCTTGTGCTTAAATGGCTGCTTTCGGGTTCCGGTGATGGCGGTGGTTACGATGGCGGCGCCAAAGAGCGAACACATTTGGAAATTGTCCATTTACCTTTCCCATTAACGAAAGCATATCACAGGGGCAATGTAGGCGCAGGTGGAGCTGCGTTTGGAGGATGGGATGATTTAGCTTCAAGTGGCAGCAACAGTGTATTCGCTATAAAACATGGTAGCAAATCGCACAAGTATATACCAGTGAGCAATGTGAAGCAAATGGCACATGTTGTAGCAGCAGCAGCGGTCGCAGATGCTGAGGATAATGGCGACGGCGGCTATCGAAACACGCGCCCGGTATTTGACGCCAAGCCGTTTTTGTAAAAAAGAAAATAAAATGTGGCACGGCAAAAATTTCCCAACGATTAAACAACAACTCACGACAAACATACAAACTTATTGCTACTGCACTCTCAATTTATGTGTACTTATCGATGTTTATTTGCATAAGTCAACGCGCGTGTTTATTTAATTATTTATAGTAATACCGAATACCAGCTAAGAAAACAATTTTATATTTCAGAAATGAAAATATTTAACCATGCAGGAATGCGACAAGTAAAGTCATTTTATGTAAAAACAAGTAAGGAAGGGGTAAGTTCGGATGTAACCGAACATTTTATACTCTCGCAAAGTCAAATGGTATACTCGTTATAGATTTCATTGTGGATCTTGCATTCCTGTTCTATGTTGACCGATATTTTCGGTAAAAAATCAACTATAGGCATCCACATATTCAGTACCTAGGGGCTTGAACAGTTTTGGTTCAATTTTGATAATTTTTGGTCACAAGGTGGCATACTTTAAATGCGTTATTCACGCAAAGTCTTACAGCGATATAATCATTGTTGCTTGATTTGCATACTGGAAAGTGAAAAAATCAGATGGAATTTAAAATGATGTTATATGGAAAGTAGGCGTGCATGTAATCCGATTTCGCTCATTTTCGTACTATAATATAGAAATATGAGAAGAATATTATTTACCGAATTTGATTGAAATCGGTTAAGCAGATCTCAAGATATGGGTTTTCACCTAAAAGTGGGCGGTGCCACGCCCACTATCTAATTTTGAACGTGGTTCCTATAAAATCGTCTTATACCATCCCAGAGATTAAATTTAATGTCTCTGGCTTGTTTAGTGCTTGATTTTTAAAAGTACCGTTACATGGGGAGTGGGCGGGGTTGTCATCCGATTTCACCCATTTTCACACTGTGATAGAGATGCTAAAAACTTGTTCTTAGTGAATTTTGTTATTATAGCTTCAGTGGTATAGGATATATGCGCATTAAACTTATTAGCGGGAGGGACCACGCCCACTTAAAAAAAAATTAAACTGCAGATGCCCCTTTCTAATGTGATCTTGTATACCAAATAAGTCTTGTATCTTTTTGTGGAGCTTAGTTATGGCAATTTATTTGTTTTTGATTAATGGCGTTTTGTGGGCGTGGCATCTGCAATACCAACCGTCTTACGGTACCAAGAAACATGTGTACCAAGTTACAGCTTGCACAGACGGACGGGCAGACGAACGGACAGACTCTCACCCGGATTTCAGCTCGTCTCTTCATCCTGATCATTTATATATATATATACTCCTATATTTAACTCGATTAGTTTTAGGTGATACAAACACCCGTTAGGTGAATAAAACTAATATACTCCGTAGCAACAAGTTGCGAGAGTATAAAAATATATATTCATTTAAAATTGGAATGAGTACCACATTTTTATCATTCTGTGGAGTTTTATGCAATAAATAAAGGAATAAAGAAATTTTATTGTTGGGAATTCGGAATAAATTTAAGTAAACACATATTAATCAGTTATCAGTTTTTGTACGTTCTTACGTACCAGCACTAGTTTATACACGAGGGCACATAATAGAGATGATAAAATATTGAAAAGTGACTAAAATTCTTTCGAAATGTCGTGAACCTTACTAAATGAAAAAGTAATATTTTTATTCATAGCAGTTTAGAATGAAGAAAAAATTAACAGCTACTTTTGAAACAACAGAACCTAGTTTACAATATGTAGTATGGGTATAAAAGACTTTCATACTGAGATATTTGCTTCGTTTTTTGCTAACTTGATTTAGCTTTAGTAGCGATGTCGGACGTGGTCGTTTATTGCTCGTACATATTGACAGTAATTTCTCAACACAAGCCATTGTTGCGACGCCATTACATCTGAAAAACGTCGCTGTTTAGTGCGCTCTATGGGCAGAGGAAATCACTGGTCCATATTCCTTAAAAAATTAAGCTGGCCATACTGCTTCAGTCAACGGGGAATGCTTTAGAGCCATGACTAATGAGTTCTTCGTGCCTGAATTGAAGGATGTTGATGAGGATGACCTTTGGTTACAACAACACGGTACTAAATGCCATACATCCAACGACACAACTAATTTATTGAAAGCAACCCTTGGTGAGCGCATTATCTCGCGTCGTATGTATGTGGCATGGAAAATATCATATGATTTAAAACCGGCCTAAAAAGTGGTCGAAAATTGGGTCTCTCGGCTGGAATTTATTCGAGTCAAACGCAGCGTTCGCTTACCCCAAAAACAAAGACTGGCGAAATCGTAGTAATCGGCTTGAGCGATAGTCTAGAGAAGAAATATTAGATATATCACATTAACAAGCTTGCCCTTAATAGTTTAATTCATATGACAACCTCAAATGGCGCAATAACAGCGAATGAATGAATGAACCACGGATATTTTTAAACACCAAAACCGAATAAACGAAAAAAATATTGTTGAATAGTTATATTGGCAGCGCTACGGTAAACCTTAGCGGTTCACGTGTACAGTAATAACTCCTCTTTCGTTGTGTATACAAATATACCCCACAAGCTCTTTATGCACAAATTGTATACTTTGTTGTTTATACAGGTCATCCAAATACCTCTAAGTACTATTTGTTAGAAAAAATATTTCTATACAAATAGCCAAAAAATGATGATGTACACATGTAGTTAGGTCCTTGATGATTTATATATTGTATAAAGAACTTTTACACTGTAATTGGTATTGTACGAGGTTTAGAGAACAAAAACAAATATTAATCATCGAAAATCGATTTACGGTTTTTCTTTACACTTTTCACTTTTTTTGAGCGTTACACAATTTGTGTGGGATCCAATGAGAGCAAATTTTTTTGACAGCCAAATGTTTACGCAATATTGAATGTTTGCTGGTCCTACTAGTGCCTATCTCCTAATCTCACGATAGGTCACATGACGATCATGCAATATCAGTTTGCGTACATAGTTTCCGGAACAACAGTTGATCACGAAATTCGTCTTTGACTGTCTTACGACTTCGATTGAATTCACCGTAACATCGACAAATATTAATCCTTCAAGGAGCTTTATCGCCAAAAACTCAATTAAGTTCATCAATGCACTGTTGCTAAATTAATCCATATAGAAAGTTGGAAAAAAATAATCGCACGAAATTTTTCGCGATTTAATTCCAATTTTTTGGCTAAGATGAATATTTTAAGTTACTGTAAACAACACAAATAGCGCTCGTATATCAAAACTAAAATTATCAGAGGTTAAAGTAGAAAGGAAACAAGACAATTTTTTAAAAATTCGGCATTTTATTTTAACTTTGCTGTCAAAGCAAGCCCTTCTTAATTTTTCGTTTTCTCAGTTATTTGTTAATGATAGCACATTCAAGTGTTCATCCTTTCCACTGAAGTAACAAACTCTTTAGCAATTAAGTAAACAAGTTCAAAAGCACTACAAAAACAAAGTGCATGTAGGTACGAGTATAAATGGCTGATAAAAGGTGTGGAGCTGAAATTGACGATCGATGAATGACTTGGCGGCAAAAGCGCACCAGATCGATATAAAGAGTAGTGATCAGCAAAAAACGGCAGCAACAACTATAAGTAGCCCTATCAATGTTGGCAACTAACAATGCCGCTGTTGCGAATAGCTTCCCGAATTTTAGGTTTTTCATTGCCAGTGAAAGTTGCTGGCAAGTCGACGGCCATAATAAGTCTGCATACATTACACATTATTGATGCGTAGCGGAAGCGCGTAAATGCGTCCCAATTACTCAGCATGCGCATGTGCATATACGAGTACAAGCCAAAGGAATGCTTCACCCTATGCGCTGCTTAGTTTTGTTTTCGCGTGGATATGTACGTATCTTGTGGTGGATCATCAACTATGTTAAACAAGAAATAATTTTCGTTGCCGTTTGGTTTTTTGCTTTTGGCAACAGACACCGGCACCTGATTTGTTGGCTTTGAAATACGTAAGTGAAATATTTTATTACGCATTGTTTAGTGTTGCCTTTTCTATTGCTTGGCTGCCGCTGACGAAATCGGAAGTGTCATGCATTAGCAATTAACATGTAGTCAGACATGCGCATGGTGGTTACAGCAAAGTGCATAAAATAGCAACTATGAGCGTTGACCAGCGCACCTATTCACAATTTTCTGCTGTCTCTGCCATATCTCCCTCTGCGAATTCGTATCTGCGACAGCGCGGCAGATTATCTAACTTTGCGCAACCGCTCTTGCTGGCATTCATTGCTGGCGCAACGGTGTGCGCGAGTCACAAACAACGCGGTTCGTCGTAGCGGCGGTGGTGCGGCAGTTCCTTTCGCAGTGGCCGACTTTGAAACCTACTTTTCTTATTACTTCATTGCGATACGATTTTCGTCATCTCACTCTTTTGTTGACTTTTGCTTGCCTTTTTGTGTCAACAATTTCACTTTCAGCAGAAAATATCGCAGCAAAGACAAGTACGATGCCTCGGTAAGTTGGTGTATTTAAAGGTTTTCGTTGAAATTGTGCCGTCGCGCAGGCGTGTCGCACCTGTTAAAATTGCCCAACCAACCGCTGTACACAAAAGATGCTATCCCACAAAAACAGTAATAACAGGTAGAAAAGTTTCAGGCTTACCAACCGATAAATTGGCATTCTTTCGGTTGGTTTTTTCTTTTCATTCTGCTTCGTACGCATGTTGAGCCACCCATGCGCTTGATTATTTTCTTTCTTTCACCGTCATAATTGTTACATATTTTTTATTGTATTTGTTTGTAATTTTGTTGTTGTGATTACTCAACCTTTAAATGCGTAGTATGTAGTTATGTCGCCGCCGCAGCGTGAGAGCATCCCGCATTGTCAAGTCTCGGTAATTGGCAAGCTGGCTAAGGGAAAGTGATTTTAGGCTTCGTACCAACATACGACGTGTACTTGTTTGGACTGTCGAAGTCTTATTGAATCTGAAATTCCAAAGCGTTTAATAAACTCATAAATGTAAAGCGCTTTAATGAATAAAATGATAAAACCATAACTGCAGCGGGTTTTTTAAACAATGAGGCCAATTGTTCCGCATTTTACACAAACAAGTATGTAAAATAGTTAAAAAAAAGTTGATGTTTAATATTTTTATTTTATTGTCGAAAGGCAGTCGTTTCATAAGAAGAAACACTCTTAAATGAAATCAGTTAAA